ATGAGCATTGAGCATGGGAGGTCCTTTCATCTTCTGATGTCTTCCTCAATCTCTTTATTTAAAGATTTAAAACTTTCATTGTAGAGCTCTTTAATGTCTTTGGTCAGGTTTACTTGAAGATATTTAATTTTTTTTTCAGCTGTTGTGAAGGGGAGTGTTTCCATGTGCTCTTTCTCTGATTGCTTGTTATTGGTATATAGAAAGGCTATAGACTTTTGTAGGTTAACTTTGTAACCTGCCACTTTACTGAACTTGTTAATAATTTCTATGGGAGGGTGCCATCTGGGAAGTGGATGTATGGTCGAATAAGATGGTTTGGGATGTTCTGTGTGATCTACACACAAAAAAAATCAAGAAATTTTCAAAAATGTATTATATTTTAGGAGGAAGCATGGAAATTTACATCGTACTAATTAGCAGAGGTGATAAACATTACCATAGAAATCTACCCATTGACTTTATGGATATACACAGGCACCAAGGATCCAAGTGCAACCGATTATGACTAGTAATAATCAGATACATACAGATTAGAGATGCATGTGTCAACATCTCAGTGTTAGTAGCAAAAACAATGAGTCTTTCTGCAAGGAACAATATATTCTAAAATGAAATGGAGATCTTTCTTAAAGGCTAAATAACTCAATTTTATGTCTTACAGGGCTTATACTGAGTTCAATATTGTATAACTGTATTAACTCAACTGTGAACCTAGAAACTTGCACCCACTTGTGAAAGAGATGTTCTCTTGCTCTGGAGTGTGTTACTGAATATGTTAAATCTGCAGTGAAATACTTCTTCTACTCATGTAGTTATTAAAAAATTTTTTAAATGATTAAAATAAATAAATAAATAATTGTGTTGAGCTTTTTTTTATTTCATACAACAGTTCTTAATCAAATTTAGACACTCCCTTCCCTATCCATGCTCCCCCACCCCAGACCCCACTGGACCTCATGTATTCTACTATACATGTTAAGTTCCATCCAGTCAAGCTTTTGTACCCAGATTTCATTCATTGCAAATTCATCCACTAGAGTCTATTCAGCCCATCTAGAGATCATTGGTAAGGCCTACTCTCCCTCATCCAGTAGTGATCAGTCTTCAGTAGTTCCAAGACTAGGATTGACCCACCACCCATTTCCCTCGCTCCACTCTAGGCCCTTGTCTGATTGAGTTAGCATGGGTCCTGTGCTAGATGCCACCATTGTCATAAGTTCATATATGGAAGCTTCCAGTGACTTGTAACCCTCTGCCTCCCTATGTTCAAGGATCAACCTTGGCTCTTACAATCTTTCCACCCTCTCTTCTGCAATGGTCCCTGAGCCACGGGTGGAAGATGTTTGATATAGGAGTCCTATACAGGGACACACACTCTGGAGTCTCCTATTCTTTAAAAGTTGGTCAGTTGTGGCCTTTGGTGTGCATTGCACTCTGTTGTATAAGGAGTCTTTATTGGTGAGAGTTGAGGAATGCACTAATTTTCTCTCTACTTCCATTCCACAATACTCCAGGAGTCTTAGGTGTAAAGGTTTCACTTTAGATATGTTACCTAGGACTGGGCATCTCTCAGACATAGATTCTCTGTGTCTAGCCAGTTGTGGGGTTCTGCAGTAGCCTCCATCTGTTGCAAAAAAAAAACTTCCTTCATGAGTGATGTATGGTATACTTATCTGTAAATGTAAGGATATATATTTAGCATATGGTAAAAAATTTTATTTGCCTAGAGATATAACAGAGGTAGGGTTTTCTCTAGGATCTATGACCTCTCCAGCCATGTGTATTTGGATGTATTTACATTGCCACTCATGAGTTCACTCCCATTGAGAGGTCTTTAAGTCCAATTAGACAGGTGTTAATTATCTGCCAGATAAAAGTGCTACTACCACACCAGTAGAGGTAGTTTGCTATGCTGGCCATTATGGCTATTAAGCTTTAGGGCTGGGTTGAACAACTGACTGATTTTCTCCCCTAGTAGCTTGTATAGTATCCTCCAGAACTATGAGAGCTAAACTTCAGGTAGAAGGCTTCCAAGTCAGTTCCTGCTCCACTGTTCCAAGTCCTGTGTCTGACATATGTCCTGTCTTCAGCAGTAGGGTCTTCCAGTTCTGCGAGGTATTCAAGAGCTCCTGCAATAGCCTGTGTTATTTTGGGAGTCCCTTGGACCACTCTCAGCAACCACTCTATGGGAGGTCTCTCCTGTTTGGCACTGTGCTCCTTGCCATACAGCCCCCAGGCATGCATATGGTATACATATGCACTAATGTTCAGACACTGTATGTGCATTTCTCAAGGGAGTTCGGAGGCAGTACATTTCCCTCTGTCTTCCCTAGCCCCTCAAGATCCATTTATCTCTACTCTCTCACTCCCCCACATCTGACCTCCCTCCTCCCTCTCCAGTCCACTCATGTTTTGCTTTGGTTTTGCAAGGTAGCTTAAAATAAATTGCCCCTTCTGTTGAAACAAAACTTGCCCTCTCACCCAGTGATTTCCTCATTCTCATACCACTGCATTCTTTACTCCTTGCTCCATTATTATTTATTATACTTGGAAGAATAAATTTGCCAGTCAGGTGCCTCCATGGTTGACAAGGCCCCAGGCATTTTAACTGCTTTCCACCTTTAAAAGGAATAAGGCACGCCATCCACAGTGTGTCCTGAGAAGGAATATGTCACTAACCACCTGCCCCCAGCTCCAGGACCAAGGAAGCCAGCAAGACAGAAAGTGAATAAAGAAAGACCCACTCATGACACAGTGAGAAAAAGGGATGGTTTGACTACATGCAACACAATGAAAAGAACATTAAATCTATTATGAGAAACTTAGAGTTTCAGTTCTGGATTTCCCAAATTAACT